GGTCAAATTCAGGACCGGGGACATAGGCCTTCGCGAACGTCGACGAAGACATAGGACGGTAGACGACGAAGACGACAAGTTCAAATGCGATTGCGGCTTCGAATGCGAAGACAGTGTTCATGTAGTCGCGGAATGTCCGTGGTACGAAAAGGAGAGGGAAGTGTACATGACTGAGCTGGGAAGAATACAAGGGACGTACAGGGAGATGTTTGAGGCATGGAATAGAGAGGAGAGGAAGGTAGCGGTACGGGGGAGTAGAAAGTGGTTTGAAAAGGCGGGAAGTGACATCGTTAGGATAGACAGACTAGGAAAGACATTTTTGAGCCACCTTTGGCAAAGTAGGAAGGAACGATTGACCATCGGTGATCGGTCCTGTGGGAACAATGCTCCGTCCTCTCGAGGACGCGTGGTCAATGGTCTAACCGCTAAGGCATGCAAAGCATAAGAGTACGCCCCCCCCCCCTCTGATGCAGCCCTGTCTTTTGTAAAGCCTGCGCTTCCGATTGTGTTGCCCGATGAGCAGCCGCGCCCTACGCTCTACAACACATTGTGTGTTTTGGCTGGTTGCTGCCCCCGACAGAGGAGAAAAAAAGAAAGAAAAATGAAACGTGAGTCTCGCCCCGTCACTTGAAAGTGGAATGTTCCTAGCGGGTGCATGCCTCTTCCCCCGCCCGCCCGGTGCGTGTGCTTGATCGCCTCCCTCCCCTCAGCTGTCTACTTTTGTCGTCGTTTCGTTTCAATCAAAAACGGGGATCGCACCGGCTGCTGCTACAATACTACGTTTTTGTGACGGCCTGCTGTTTGGGGTGCTCGGCGGAGTACTCTGGTCTCCGGGGCCTCCGGGGGTTACGTGGATGATGTATGTATGATGGATATGATGCGCGGGCCCCCTCTTGCCTTGCCCATGTATCTCTCACTCGTTAATCTACAAGGTCTTGGGGCATCCTTCTTTCTCTTTCGGCCTCTGACGAAGCTGCCGCACACACACACTGACCTGCCTGCCTCCCTGCCTGCCTGCATGCCGCAGAGCTTACGAGGCCAAGGGCCGGGCGACGTCGGCAACGGATGTCTTCGAGAATGTCGGGATCGTGTTCGCCGAGGTTTCTCCGTCCCCAGAGGTCGAGGATTCCTAAAACGATTGATTGCTGGGAAAGCCAGGTGGGGATGGGGGGGGCGGCAGCAGCGCCGCTGTCGGAGAGGTGACTTTTTGATCCCTCCACCTACAGCAGTAGTCTCCTCTG